TGACCAGAACTTGAACCAAGGAAGATAAAGATGTTTGATACTCAGAACAAGTGCAAACTGCTGCAATTTTATTGAATTAGACTTTTGCCTGTGAATGCAGTGACTGAAGATTCCAATTGGAATGGAAGGATTCTTCATATCAAGAAACATCCTTGTTTCCTCAGTGTACTGGGTTGATGTTGTTGTTGTTAAGTGCCATTGAGTCAGTTCTGACCCATAGCAACTGGGTTGAAAGGTACAAGAAATTTATATATTGGCTATCAAAAATGAGGAAAGGAGGAGGGGTACAAAGGCATGAAGTGGCTGGCTTACACGCTTTCATGAGTGTGCTTAGTTGCAGAATGAAAGGGGGAAAAAACAAAAGAGAGACATAGCAGAATGGATTAAAAAAAAAAACAAGATTCTTCAATATGTTGTCTAACAAGAGACATATTAAAAAGTTTGAGACAGCCTTTTTGATCAACCAAAGAATGGCTAACTTTGGTACATAAACACAATGGAATACTATAAAACATTAAAGAATAATAATGAATCTGTGAAATACCTCACAACATGGTTGAATCTGGAAGACATTATGCTGAGTCCTATTTGTCAATCACAAAAGGACAAAGATTACATGATACCCATGTTGTAAAAAAATTTTTTAAAAAAGGAAGGGAGTTTCTTGGTAAAAGACATAATCTTATGATGATTATGAGGGGGAAACTATTCATGGGCTAGAGGGTAGACACATGTTCACACAGGTGCCAAAGCAGGCAATATACAAGAGCAGTTGAGGAGGAAAGATGAAGGTAACAGGAGACACAGGGAGGAGTGCAATAGGTAAAGTGAATAGAGGTAAATACTGTTAACTGCTGGTACATGGAGGGGGTTGCAAAATGTAATGAAGCCAAGTATATGATTTGTTGGATGTAAAACTGATTATCTATTCTGTAAGCCTTCACTCATTTCACAATAAAAAAAGTTAAATAAATAAGTAAATAAATGAATCTAGAAACTGACTTTGAACCACTTTAAAAAAAAAAAAAAAAAGCATTTAGCCAAAGTTTATAAAACCTCAGTAGCCAAATTTAGTCAAAAGTGCTAATCTAAACTTGAAATCCCAATTACCCAGATTCTTGCTCCAACTCCAGTGGTCTTTGTCATATAAAATTTTATTTACTTCTCGCTGAAAAAAAAAAAAAAACAAAAAAAAAGACTGTGTTAGGTACTGTAAGAACATCAAGTAGTTTTCAAAGGAAGACAGAGACAATATACTCATTTATAAAATGTTCATCTTGTTCAATACTTTTATATTAAATTTCCCTATAAAGGGCAACCATGGTAAGTTTAAAAAGAAAACTAAAACTCTCCCTATCTAATAGAAGTGTGTAACAGCATCAAAGAAAGACAGACTTAGAGCTATTCCAGATATAATAGCAATTCTAGTAGGGAGAATCAGGAAAGAATGACATCTTATAGATGGTGGCATTTTGAATTAAGCTTTGGAGGAAAGATAAGACTTAAGAATTGGCAAATGGTGATACTCATAAAAGGAGCTTGATCTAGAAATAATAAAATGATTAAAGACAAATAGCAAACATATGTAGGGAATATTAAGAAATTAGTGAACAGTCAATTTTGGCTACCAAACCCAAAAAATAGTTACTATCCAGTTGATTCCAACTCATGAGGACCCCATTCTTGCAGAACAGAGCTACTCTCCATAGGGTTTTTCAATGGCTATGGTCTTTTGGAACCAGATTGCTGTATTTTTTAAGTATCACTGAATGGGTTTGAACCACCAGTCTTTTAGTTAGTAGTCAAGTTCTTAGCCATTTGAATCTCTTCTAATTTTGGCTTCAGTTGTCAAGAAAACAAAATCTAAAAGCATGTTGTTGTTAAGTGCTATTGAGTCGATTCTGATTCGTACCAACCCTGTATAGGGTCTCTGAGGAGCAATTGAATTTCTGACCTTATGATTTGCAGTCCAGTGTTGATCCTATAGTGCCACACCAGGAGTCCTAAAAGTATACTGTTGCTGTCATGGGAAACAGGCAGATTTGACTTCTCCTGGCTTCACAAGGTAGAATAAAAATCAAACTCAAAATCAGCCCAGGACTGATTCCAATGAAGCAGTGGTCAGATATGCTTCTACCCTATAACCTTCTTTACCCTATTCTGACAACAATCATCTCTCTCACAGCACTTTCTGCTTCACGTCTGTGTTCAACAATCCATGACAATGGTGCAATGGCCACACACATAACTCATAGCAATAGTCATAATTATGGAATTTATTAGGGAAGTGAGTTGGGTCCGATTCAGGATCAGAACCAACTCGGGACACAGCAGTTCTCCAGTCAGGAATGCCTCACATCTGCCATACTGAAGACACACCTCACTTTTGTCTTCAGCCTTTCAGCCATATTGGTATCTTGGCCTTTGCTTTTACTCAGTCCATGGGCCTAGAGGCCGAAGCTGCTCTGGCTTTCCATGCCACTAGGTAGGGATCTCATACTCCACTCTCGTTCTTCCTTCTTCATGGTCCTGAGATATTCCATCTCTGCTTCTGAGATGGCTCCTTATAATTGGAGAGCAAAGCTAACCAATCTCAGGCTTAGAGTCCTATATATCTTATTTGCATGATTCCACACAATCATTTGGTGAGAATTAAGAATTGGATAGAAAAGCATTACAAGCCAATTCAAGGTATTACAGGCAAAAACATAAAAATTTGTAATAGAAGACGAAAGATCTCAATGGTGTAGCATATAAAGCTTTTTTAAGCACTGTAGAAAACTTGAATTTAATACAAGTCATTCAGAAGATAAGTTTCAATACAGAAGAACATAAAAGAGTACACTTGGAAAATTGTTGGAATGATGCCTTGGAAAATTATGCCCTTAAAAGTCTTAATATTGTTCCCTAAAAGACACAGGTTGTTGCCTTGAATTATTATTCTTTGTAGATACTGGATTAATATGTAGCATATTTAGGCAGGAAACTGAAAATTTATGTACTATGCTAGCTGGAAAAAACAAACTCTAGAACTCCCATGCCTGGAAAACTATGGGAAACTTTAACAGGATGGGATTGAGCCAGATATGGCAATTTTTGTTCTTGATAAGTGTCAGTAAGTCAGCTCTGACTCATAGTGACCCTGTATAGGGCTTCCAAGGAGCATCTGGGTTTGAACTGCTGAACTGTGGTTCACAGTTCAGTGTTGATCCTACATCACCATTGTTGTTGTTATGTGCCGTCGAGTCAGTTCCGACCCATAGCGACCCTGTACAGGGTTTCCAAGGGTGTAAATCTTTACAGGAGTAGACAGCCTCATCTTTCTCCCGCGGAGCGGCTGGTAGTTTCAAACCGCTGACCTTAAGGTTCGCAGCCCAATTCGTAACCACTACGTTACCAGAGCTCCTTTACATCACCATACCAGTAGTCCAAATAGGACAATAGAGTAAATGACTAGGACAGTTAATTTATCCTTAGGTTGGGCAGGTCAGAGTGAGTTAGGGATGGTGCATGGCATTTGATAGAAAGTTTGAGTTTCCTTATACAAGGACCACTGACCACTTGCCATCAAGTCACCCTTGACCCATGGTGCCTCCACATGTGTCAGAACAGAAGTACGCTCCATATAGTTTCAAAGGCAATTTGTTTCAGAAGTAGATCATTGGGTCTTTTCTCCAAGGTGCCTCAGGGTGCACAAAAATTCCCAACCTTTCTCTAGCAAGTGAGTGCATTAACCATGTACACCACATAGATACTCCTATTTAAAAAAATTTTTTTTAATTTTTTAAAAGCCTTGAATTTGTTCCAACTGATGGTGGCCCCTAAAGAAGAGTAGAACTGCTCCACAAGTTTCAAAGGTTGTAAATAATGTGGAAATCAGACTGCCCCATTTTTCTCCCCAAAAATCTCCTATAGGTACTGGTGTGGTGCTGTGGGTTAATGCACTGGACAGTAAAGTCACTCTGAACCACAAATTTGGCAGTTCAAGCTTACCAGCTGCTCCTTGGAAACCCTATACAGGGTCACTAGGGATTGGAACTGGCTCGATGGCACGTAGCAACAACATAGGCTAAAGTGAAGATCATAAAGCCACGAAGATAAAGATAATGAAGAAAGGAACATACGTAAATTCAAAACTGCAACCTCTTTTCAAAGTAGTCAATCTCCTTTAAAAATCAGTAATGAAGAAAATAAATAACAAAGAAAGAAAATTTTAATAGAAAGAAAAGTAGGAAGTCCACTATTATGTATTATTGTTTGAGGTGGTACAAACTGAAATGTTTAGCAGGGTCTGGGAGGATCAGAGGAGTCAGTGGATGGCAAATATGCCAAGAATCTCAAATAAGAGGGTTGAGGGTATTCAGAGAAACACTCAATGCCAGAAGTCAAAGTTTTGTCATCAATGCCTACAGTTACTTCAGCTCAAGCAAGCCCGTCAGGGCACAAAAGCCAAACAGGACTCTGCCAACCTGAATCAGAAGACAGAAATGTATCAATATCTTTTGCAAAACCAAGATATACAAATCTATTTAATGGCATCCGTGTAAAGATTGTTGCTTAAATGGTTAAGCATCCCCACTCCACCCCCCTGTCTGAATTTAGCACCATATAGGTAAGGCTTGTCAAGATCCTCTGTTAGGAATTGAGTCAAGGAAAATTTCCAAGTAGCCAGAGAATCCAGAAAAGAGAGGTTTCCTTTGAAGCAATAAGAAATAAAAGTTTACAAGTGACTGTCTTCATTGTTATCTGAGATTTGGAAAAAAGTAGAATCAGAACTCATTCTAGGTTTAAAACTTGACATTTCCTTTACCACACTTCTGGTGTGGCACTGTAGGATCAGCTCTGGACTGTGATCCACAAGGTTGGTTGTTCAAACCCACCAGTTGCTCCTCAGAAACCCTATACAGGGTCACTATGAATCAGAATCTACTAGACCAATGGCATTTAGCAACAATTTTTTTGTTAGCAATTCCAAAGGTGGGTCTTATCATTTTTACCTGTTACAACTTCCTCAGTAGTTTCCGGATTCCCTGCTTGATCTCCTTAGTTCTCACACCATAAACAATGGGATTCAGAGCAGGGGGTATGAGGTGGTGCAGGATGTTGAGCAGGATGGGGATATCTGAGGGAATTCTCTTTCTGGCCAGGTTAGTGATGACCAGAACCAGTAGAACAGTGCTGAAGAAGAGGATGAGGATGAAGTGGGAACCACAAGTGCTCAGGGCCTTGGCCATAGCTCCCTCTGCCTTGATCCTTAGCACAGTTTTCAGAATAAAAGAATAGGAGAGAACAACAAGGATCAGGTCAGAGCCTAGCAGGGTCCATCCTGCCACAAATTGATATAGTCGATTTAATGTGATGTCATCACAAGAGAGTTTGGACACAGACAGGTTAGTGCAAATGCAATTTTTTATGATAGTCTCATCACAGTATTTGAGTCTGGAAGAAAGGATGGGAACAGGAAGAGAAAAAAGGGCATTCCGGGCCACAACGAAGGTGGCAGCCCTCAACACAAATTGGTCAGTGATGATAGATGAGTATCTCAGGGGGTGGCAAATGGCCACATAGCGGTCATAGGCCATAACCATGAATGTGCAAGACTCCATGGTCAAGAAACTGTTCATGATGAACATCTGGAGGAAGCAGGCAGAGAAGCTGATGGACTTGAGGTCAAACCAGAAGATGGCCAGGACTTTAGGGATGACAGTAAGGCAGAGCACAATATCCAGCAAGGAGAGGAGGCTGAGCAGGTAACACATGGGCTCATGCAGGGAAGCTTCCAGCCGGATGGTGATCAGGAGGGTAGCATTGGCCCCCATGGCCAGGAGGAAGAGGAGGCTGAGTGGCAGAGAGAGCCAGTGCTGCCAACTCTGGTAGTTAGGGAAGCAGATGAGGAGGAATTCAGAGACTGGAGCAGTGGAGGCGTTACTGGGCAGTGCCATTCAAAGTATCTTGATCAAGCTGAAAAATCCAGGGTAGCTATAAATGTAGAACAGTGGTATATCAGCGTAAAAATAGGTGTTCTAGATGCAGTGGAACTTGGAATTCACTGGGGTACATATATCATCTTCACAAATATCAACATTAAATGGAGTACTTATCATGTGCCAGACCCTGCGTGAATGCTTTATATTTATTACTCATTCATATTTTTTTCATCCCTTTAAAAATATACATTTTTTGCCACTGAAATGATTACAATTCATAGTAAGCCTAAATGACCGAATAGAACTGCCCCATTGCCTTTCCTGGCTCTGTAGTATAAGCACTGAACTGCTACCACAAGGTCAGAAGTTCAAACCCACTCCTTGTAAACCCTATTCAAGGTTGCTATGAGTTGGAATTGACTTGACAACACTTAACAATAATTACCTTCACAAAAGCAGATTATCAGGTCTTTCCTCTTGCAGAACCAATGATGCATTTGAACCAAAAGCCTTTTCGTTAGCAGCTGAGCACTTAACCATGTGCCTACAAGAGGGTGATTAATATTTTTATCCAATTTTATAATAATGAAATCAGAGCAAAGGAAAACAAGAGTAGTTTGATCAAGATCAGAGAGTCGGTAACTGGCAAGACTGAACTATAAACCACAGATTCTGACTCTAAAGTCCATGCTCTTTGCCTGACACTACTTAGCCTTGACAAGGACAATTCCTTTATTAGGAAGGATATCTCAGGGGAGGTGTCTGCTTCGCTAACTCCATAGAGGTCCAGGAAAAAACCTAATTTTTTATTCCATAGAATTAAACAAGGTATGACTTCAGGAACTTGAATTCATCAGAAAATACTGGGTAAGATGGAGGCAGAGATGGGGACATAGAGAGAGGGAGCAGCTGAGGACTCTAGATTCATGGGAAGAGAGGGACTAAGAGCTGGCAGCCAGGAGGCAGACTTGCAGAATGTGCCCTTTAGTGCTATAAATTATTATATATGTCTGAGTGTTTTTAAAAAGGAAAAAGAAAAAGAGCTAAAGTCAATAGAGAGAAATGATGGTACATGGAGGGGATTATAATCATTGTAATGAAAAGGTGTATTGTCAGGAGCCAGCACTGGTGCCATCTAATGGTGAAGGTTGAGATGGCCCTCATGCTCTTATAATTGGCCTGAGACAAGTTTCACCTGGTTAAGGTGATGTCAGTGATCGAAACTTATTGGTAATTGTAACTAAGACAATCCTGGGAAAAGGGAACTTCAATTGTACCAAAACCGAGTGATTCAGTGTTGCTATAACAATACTTATACTTATGTAATCATATCCTGGTTGGTATCCTGCTTGGTAATCATATCCTTGTTACTACAGAAAACATTGTAACTAGGCAGAATAACAATGACCTAATGCTAAAAGTCCTATATAAACCATGTTGCTAAATATACTATGTCACTGGCCATCAGCCTGTTGACCCTTGCCTGATTTTAATCCTAGCCCTCTCCTTCGAGCAACCCACGCAGTGGTCTGAGCTGGACTCAGACTCCCATAGTGTATATAATCTGTTGAATATAAAACTAATGATCTGCTCTGTAAACTTTCACTCAATCCACAATAAAAACCTTTTTTTTTAAAAAAAGAAAGAAAATACTGGATAAGAGACAAACTAAAATATCTTCCTGCCTCACTAAAGACATGTTGTCCCAACTCACAGTGACCTCGTTTAAGGTTTCCAAGGAGTAACTGGTGGGTTTCAACCACTGGCCTTGCAGTCAGCAGTCCAGTGCTTACCTTAGAGCACCACACGAAGATTCCACTTTAAAGCTATAGTATGCTTCATATGCTTACTGGATTATTTGCCATTAAGTTTCTTCGTGAAAGTTCAAGTGTTTAGGTATTTTGGAAGGGACTGTGAATTTCCTGTTCTGGTGACAAGGAAAGTTGGGCCTGAAGGATAGAGTAGAGGATATATTAAACACTGGAAGTACTATGATTGTTCTTCAAATAGATATAGGATATACAAGGGGTGGGGTTCAAAAGAGAAAAGCAGTAACACTAAGAATGTAGGAGAAATATACCATCAACTTGGGTCTGAAATTGAAAGACATTGGGAGTATTCAGGAATATTGAGGGTTTGGACCTCAGAGTAACCATTCCATGGCTGAGGATTGAGCATCTTAGGTTCCACCCATCTGAATTCTTTGACACAGGCTGTTCCAAAAGTACTCTGGGATTCCTGGCAATGGTCAGAGTGTGTGTTTACCTGTCACAGAAATTCTATCTAAAGATGAGCAGTTCTTGTCATAAGACCTTGATTGATATTGATGTATTATTAGATCTTTCTTTTTCTGCTGCAAAAAAACAGTCTCAGGAGGTTTAGGATGACAAAAACAGTGGACCAAGAGTACTTCTGGCCCTTTATGGAAGCTGCTTCTTACTCCATTCTCTGCATCCATCCTCAGTCAAGTCCTTGAGTTACCTTAAAGCTTTGAGATTGTGCTAGGCCCTTGCCTGCTTAGATATTGATCTCCTCATTCATATTATGAGCCATTTCCTTGATTTCAGGATATACATGAAGAAATGGATAAGTAATGAATAAAGAAAAAGTTTTGAGGATTCATTATTCAACTGTTGGACAAGTGTGTACTGCTCACTATTGGACAAAGTGATGGGCTACAAACTTAAGGAAGATGATTAGAAAAGGATCTTGGGACCCCCAAGACTCTAACCCTTAGAAACTCTTCAAGCCAAGAACTGAATCCATCCCTGAGGTTCAACTTTCAGCCAAACCATAGACAGACATATAAAGTGAAGAATAATACGAGGGAGATATATAATTCTCAATAAAATCAACTCTAGGAAATTGTTATCATGACTAATTGCAATGGTTGCACTATAAAGGTAGAAGTTTTGTAACAAAAAGGGAGGAGTAGTTAATCTTACAATCTAGGAAGAGAGGACCCTGGGAACATCAAGGAAGAATAGCCTGAGTAGAATGAGGGACCCTATCCAGAGAAGCAGTGACACCAGAGATGGAGGCAGATAAGGACATAGAAAGAGAGAGTAGCTGAGGACTCTAGACTTATGGAAAGAGAAAGGCTGAGTGCTGGCTGCCAAGAGTCAAGCTTGCAGAATGTGCCCTTTTGTTGTTTAAATGATTATATATTCCTGAGTGTTTTTGTGTACATTCCTTTTCCCTCTCCCTCCTCCAAAACAAAAAAACAAACAAAAAACCCTGAGGGAATAGAAGCAAATAATGTTGAATGATGATGCAAGGAGAAAATTTTAATAATTGCAATGAAACGATGAGTGTAAAACCAATATTCTCCCATGTAAATTATCACTCAATTCACACACACAAAAAAAAAAAAACTTTAAAAAAAATAATAGCAGCATTTAAAAAAAAATCAACTCTATGAGACACAAAAAGTAACATTTTCCCAAAAACAAAGCTCAGAAGGAAGGAAGGAACAGGAAAAGTCTAATAGAAACAGGGAACCAGGGAGGAAGTAGGAAGAGTGCTGTTACACTGAGGGAATTGCAAACAATGTCAAGAAACAAAATGTGTGTAAATATTGAATTGGACACGATGTGCTTTGTAAACTCTCACTCAAACAAAAATAAATTAAAAATGAGAAATTTTTAAAAAAGTAATTCTAAACATAATAGCATTAAAAAGACATGTGTATATTTAATTAAAAACACCAACTTTTTTCTAAACATAAATGATAATAAAGTTTAAATTCACAAAGTCATCTTCAGAAATTAATTCAACTTCGGAGTCTTCTTACTGGATTACCCTGACACTATTTAAATTCTGTTACCTAGTACTCTCATTTATGAAATAGAATAAAAAATATTTGACTTCAAGAGGGAAGGGGAAAAGGTTACCATTTCCTGAAGTCCTACAATGTGCAAACACAATGCACACTAAAAACATCAGACAAGGCTACAGAGAAGAGAGAGCATTTACCAGGGATAGAAGGAGAAATAGCCTCTTAGGCAATGATAAGAGCAGAAAGACCTGCCGATATGGATGTTTAGTAATGACCAGGTGTTAGGAAACAGTAGGCCACAAGTTTTTTTGAGGGAAGGGGATAAGAAAACAGAATAATAGATAGAGGTATTAAAGGTTCATGATGGCAACCTTGTGAGTATCCTTAGAAGTTCGTCTGATAGTAGGCATCATCGAGCATATACACTGTAGGGAATCATGGGTTTGAAACAGGAAAGTGATATGATATAGATGGATCAAAAGGAAATTGCACAAAAGGTCAAGATATACTTAAGAATCATAAATAGTCCAAATGAAAGTGATTCTGAACAAAGATAGTAGCTATGTGCAAATGGAGAAGAAAAGATATATTTGAGAAACTGGAGTGAGGAGACAGAGACTGGCCTCAAAAATGTCACCAATTCTTAACTGATAAGGCATAAAATATGACATTGACCTTTACAGAATTCCTTTAAAATGTATGTATTCTTCCAGATTGTATTATACTTTCAGCTTTGTTTTATAGTCCCTTTTAGATTCCTCAATAGCTGGAATCATTTTTCTTCTCTCTTTGTATTCTGCTCAGTAAAACTGAAGTCTCTTAATTTTAGAAACGTCTTAGACTGGATTCTCTACAGAAGCTTATATCTATATACTCAGAGAGAGGTTTATAACAAGGAAATGGCTCACTCTACAGTTGTAAAGGTGGGCAAGTCCCAAGCTGGTGACATGTCAATCTGGGTGGAGGCTTCTGACTCACATAATTGTGGTGCTATGAACCAAGATCAGCAGGTCAGACCGCAGTAGGCAGGTCTAGCAGGTAGGAAGCCAGGATTCTGCCCAAGATCGGCAGGCCATAGAGTTCACATCCAAAGAACAGGGGGTTGAAGGACAAGACAGATATAAGATCTCAACCCAACAGAGACCAAGAAAACCTTGCCTGAGTGTCCAGCATATTGTAAGCAGCCACACCCAATAGGAAGCTTCCCTTCAATTGACTGGCTGCTCATAGCAGATCTCATAGAGTTGAC